TTTTTTTCCCTTTTTTTAATTTTTTGCTCAACACTCCCTTCGCTCCAAAGGAAACATAAAGTGCTCCTAGTGCTTTGGAATCAAAGCGAGAATGGGGGCCAGAAGCTTAAAAACGTATGGTCTTTGGTGACTCATGGGAGAGGACAGAAGGGCAGTGCATGGAGTTTGGGTCCCTTGTTAGTTTCACCATAAGTCGAACAGTGATCGAGACAGAGCAACTTGGTTCTGCATCGCAGCTCAGGACAGGAGGCTGGTCTCATGTCGGTAGTTACAAGAAAGCAGCAGGGGGAGAGCCAGAATGATCCCCTGGAAGCACACTCGGGTTCAAGGACTAGAGCAGGGTAGTCACCGATCTGCCAGAACAGCTGGAGAGGGTGCAAGAATGAGCACGGGCTGCCTGTCTGGGGCCAGCAAGAGCAAAGATATACCAAGGATCTCACAGTATCCCCAGAACGATCTTCAAGCCAGCTCTTCCATTTCTGGACATGGTGGCTAACCAGACTAGGTCTAGTTCAGTGTAGCAGACACCGATCTGCTCCTTGCACATGCTCCCATGTACAGGGGAGGACTTTGCTCTCTAGACTCCAGGCCTGCCCAGCAAAGCTCTACAACGTTCTGAGAACTGAGCACGTGTTTTGGTTACATACACTCATTTTCTCCCCACCCTACACAAACACACATGCAGCCACAAGTCTGGCCATCAGAAATGTAGAAGGCTAGAAGCCCCTTGGGCCTACTGAAAGTACCAGCAGTGTCTCCTGGGGAAAAGTGATCCCCACTGGGTTAGACAGACAGACTATCCTTTTCCTCTGTGTGGCCATCCCCAGTCCCTTTAAGTGACATTCTGCTCTAACAAGAGGTTTGAATTCAATTAAAAAAAATTAAAAACAAATACAAGCAAAGAAAATCAAAAGCCAAGCCACCCTACAAGGTTTGTGCAGTTCAACAGCAGGAGCAGCTCCTGTTAAGAGGCCAAGCTTTCCCTGTAGCACAAGGTCTGCTGGAATATGAAGGGGAGAAGGTGCCCTGGACAAGTCTATGACAAACTGGAGACAGCAGCTGTCTTACTGACTGCAGCACCAGCACCCCTCCTGGACATGTTCTTTTGAAGCTGCCACCTTGTAACCCAGAAGCATATTTAAAAAAAAAAAATCAATTCATTCGTGCATCTGCTTTAAATAGGTCTGTGCATCCCAGCTGCCACTTCCTGCTTTCCTATTTCAAGTGGGGAGTTTTTGGACATAGTTAAGAGCCATTGAGAGACTAAGCCTGTTCTGGAATGCAATCCAAGTGGGTAAAAACAACCCATTCTGTTAAAAGACTCCTCAGTCAGACCCACCCACAGGGCAAGTATAGCAGCTATCTGCAGTCTGAATACTGAGGACTTCAGCCCAGAGCACTCCGCACCCACTTTCTAGGTCATATTCAGTGGCAAGGAGGTTGGTAGACCTTGAAGAGTAGAGAAAGAAGAAACAGATTTGAAGAGGTCCTAGCTAAGTACCTGAATCGGAACACAACCCTTCCAGCCATCGTGGGGGCCACCATTTCCATGTCAGAGCGCTGCTGTGGAGAGGGGAGGACACACAACAAAAACTATCTCATTTCCAAAAGTGACTTCCCTGGGTTTGTCTTGGCTTAGGTTAAAAAGGTTCAGTTAATTGCTAATCTGCCAAAAGCACGTAAATACTGAGTGCTGCTCAGGGCATTCCTGAGCAGAGCTAGTGCTCCAAGCAGCCTCTGTTACATATTTGTTTTGGCCAAAACAAGGACTCACAGATAACACCTGCTTCCCAGCCTCCTCACTGTGTTTTCCTTTTGTGGCCATGCCCATACCTCGCGGCCCAGTGCTCACACCGCAAGCCTAGCACCAATTATGGTCGTTCTGCTCCTCCCAAGTTAGCGTTTCTCCTTTTAACTAAAGTGTGAAGAGCTGTTCAGTGACCTCAGTGCTACTTGGTACGCACAAGCCTTCTGTACCTGTGCTTTTACGTTTGCTTTCACAAAGGTCCCAGAGCAGGGCATTAGAGCAGTCCATTGAAACCAGAACCTTGAGTCAGAGCCAGCGCACATTCTCAGCAAGGAGACATTCCCTTCATCTTGCGCAAATATGGCACATTTTGCTTTAATCAATATTCTTCATTGTCCCCATAGTAGCGTGCACCCTGTTGCTCGTCAGGAAGGGAGATGTACTGTCCTTTGAGAGTGGGTCAGACCACGGAGTCTTTCACAGATCACGTATGCTTGCTCCAGTTCCTGCAGGAAGACAACAACACCTCCCAGCTATGGATGTGCAATTAAAAAAGTTTCAGACAGGGAGAGTCTGAGCGAGATTTGTTCCTTCAGAATGTGCAGATAAAAGTGCAAATATGCAGTTGATGTTTCTTCTCTAGTAAGGAAGCTCTGGTGCTTTTAGCTGCCAACAAGCATCTTGAGAAAAAACAAACAGACCGAAAAGCTTCCAGAGTTCACCTTCACTTTGCTACATGGTACCGTGAGTCAGTCTTGTTCATTACGTGCAGCCCATGAGTCCAGGCCCTGGTCTGTGGCTGCATTAGGTGATGGAATGTTTGCGTAGATGAAGTTAGACGTTTAGAAAACAAATTATTACAAATCTTACACCCCGAGAGCTGCCTCCGGTAGCCCTCTTCAGTTCTGTGGTGCTGAGTATAAGCCATGGCGATTGCTAGACTCCAAGTCGCCAGAAGTGAAGAGCAGGGGGGCGTCATCTATTGTAGGTCCACTCAGATGAGGAGCAGCAGGGTAGCTGTCGCTGCCAGTCAGAGAGCCGTACCAGCCGGAGCACGGAGGGGCAGCCAGGCTTTGAAGAGAAGAAAATGTAAACTCTTAGAAATGGAATAGCCTCAGACATGCTTCTAGCTTGTGTACTCCCCTAGATGATGAAACAGTGCCCTTCTCAAAGAGAAAGACGACTTCCCGGAATCATGTACCCACCCACTGAACAATTTGGCCCCTACTGAAATTTTTTTTAAAACTGTCAATTTGGGTGCTCAAATTAACACCAGAAAATACAAGTGAAGATTCCTAGTTTTAAGGCTCTTATAAATCACCCCCCTGCCCACACCAAGCACCAATTGCCAACTCCAGAGGCTGCCTAAGATTTTTGTGAATCCTAGCAAAATGGTTCTAGTGTTTTTATGCCAGAGACATGGTTATTTTTGACCAGTGACCCATGGTGGATGGGTCATTTTCAACCTGAAGGGATGTGGGCAGTGGGGTCCCCCAGGGCTCAGTCCTCAGGCCTGCACTGTTCAACATCTTCATCAGCGACTTGGACGAGGGGGCGAAAAGCACCCTGTTCAAATTTAAAATGTGGGGAAAAAAGTGGGCACAACAGAAGGGAGGGACAGGCTGCAACTAGATTTACACAGGTTACAGGGGAGGGCGGATGAGAACAGGATAGGATTCAACACTGACAAGTGCAAGGTGCTGCACCTGGGGAGGAACAACTGGCACCATACCTACAGGCTGGGGAACTCCCTTCTCGTCAGCACAGAGGCAGAAAAGGCTCTTGGAGTCACTATTGATTCCAGGATGAACATGGGCCACCAATGCAGGGACACAGTCAGTCAGGCTAACCGCACCTTGTCACACATACACAGATGCATCACAAGCAGGTCCAAGGAGGTGATCCTCCCCCTCTATGCAACACTGGTCAGGCCGCAGCTGGAGTACTGCGTCCAGTTCTAGGCGCCGCACTTCAGGAGGGACGTGGACAGCATCAAGAGGGTCCAGAGGAGGCCACTCGCATGGTCAAGGGGTAGCAGGGCAGGCCCTACAAGAGGCTACGAGACCTGAACTTGTTTCAGCCTCCACAAGTGAAGGCTGAGAGGGGATCTGGTGGTCGTCTATAAAAAAAAAACAAAAACTTACCAGGGGAGACCAGTGGGGAACGGGAGAGTTCCTGTTCCCCCAAGCACTATCAGGGGTAACTGGGAATAACAACCACAAGTTGATTGAGAGTAGGTTCAGACTAGACATCAGGAGGCGCTACTTCACAGTCAGGGTGGCTAGGATCTGGAACCAACTTCCAAGGGAAGTGGTGCTCACTCCTTCCCTGGGGGTCTTCAAAAGGATGCTAGATATTCACCTAGCGGGGGTCATTTGATCCCAGCATTCATTCCTGCCCATGGCAGGGGGGTCAGACTTGGTAGGGTCAGAAGGGACCTGAGCAGATCAACTATGAAACTATGCTCAGAAGAGATGCACACAATCTCAGCCTATTGAAAGCCAGGGGATGACAGAAATGCTATTTCCAAGGCACTTTTGGCTCAAGCTTCTACAATAGTAATTTCATCTAAAGCTTTCTGCACCTGTCTAACCCTAGTCTGACTTTTGGTCTTCAAAACACACATTTAAGCACTCTAGACCGGGGGGTCAGCAATATTTTCCAGCAGCAGGCCAGAATGACTTGGGTTATGTTGAAGGTGGGCTGGTGCTAGCACCCGGCTGCCACCATTTTGTCACTACTGCTCCTCTGTCACCAGCTGCAGTGCAGCATGAAGCATCCAGCTGCCCAGTCTGGGGGCTGATTCCAGTGGCTCTGCAAGGACACAGGTTGCTGGTTCCTGCTCTAGGCACTTTAACCACAGCCAGCAATTCAGCTTCAGCGCTCAACTGCAGCTCTGCTTCTCAACAGTCTGCCACAAATCCCTATGTCTAGGCTTCAGGCACTGCTGCTATGACAGATTCTTTGGCTCTGGAGCCGGAGTGAGCTGCTCTGTAGCCTTATCAACTTTCTGCATACACAGAGTCCAAGCCGTGGCTATCTGAACAGCAGTCATGACCCACCTTCCCCCATCTCTTCCGCTAAGTCGTGACAAGTCATCATCGCTGTCGTACCGCCTCGGATTGTCAAAGAAGTATGCTCGGGAGCTGTAGCTATGACTGTTTATCATCCCACCTGGTGTCTGCAAGAGAGGAACAAGAAGTGACTAGTTTCTGCAGACTGAGTTGAAAGGGGATGCCACACAATACAGATCCTACCTCATGTTACTCTCTGCGCTACAATATTTAAAGGCAATTAGTTTGTGACATCATACCAAGTTCTGAGAGAGTCTCCGAGCTCGGAAGAACAGCACCACAAAGGTCATCGGCACCAGCTCCCAGAGAAAGAGGACCACTCCGAACACCACAAATTCTTCTCCACTGATTTCTTCCCCGTGGATCTGCAAGCACAGCACGCGACACTGAAGGCTTTTGGGCAACTCAAGTTCACACCCAAGGGATTTGGGTCCAAAAGCTTGACTAAGATCCAGCCAAGCATGTGGTGTACAGACTGTTCTGGAGTTCAATCTCAGGAATGTAGGGCACTGGAGTTTCTGGACTAGGCAGACTAGTGGTTCATCTAGTCCAGATGAGTTTCTATGCCAGTGTGGACCCCCTCAGTGTAAGCAACTGATATGTTAAGACAGAGCCATTGTATCAAGTGGCACAGGGGAAGGTTTCCATGTCCCTACAAAGCATTTTCCTCAGCAGGCAGAAGGATGTGGCTACAGGTTGCTTCTGTGTGGGACACACACACAGTACTCCAATGGACTACATGACCTGCTCCTGACCATTTCTCTGCTGATTGCAATAACCCTCACTGGTCCATGACAGAAACCTAGAAGGATAAAAATCAGTCTATGCTATACCATAGTACAATGGATAGCATCAGCAGTGTGCATGTACACACTGCAGAATCAGATCAAAGTGTCTCATTTGCTTAACACTGTGCATCTCCTTTCAGCCCTTTAGTTTCCTGTCTGTATACAAATCCCCCATAAGGAAGCAACATTTGCCAACATACTGCAGCATTCTCACTGTTATGGTTCATAACACACCTGGGCCAGTCAGTGTTAAAGAAATAGGACAGTCACTCTCTGAACAAAGACTCTGTTTTAGAATTAACAGTTGCTGCTGCAACCCCCTTCCATGGAGGAGACTTCAGCAACTAGCAACAGACCAACCTCATTTCTCCAGAATCCTAACACGCCCAGGGATGCATTATCTTTTTGTATTTGCATTGGGTTTCCCAGGACAGCTCTACTTCTACCTACACCCTAAAGGCAACTCCACAACACACACACGCTTCTCATTGTCACTGACCCAAGTGACTTCTCACACACACTTTACCTTATCTGAAGGGTTGTCCCAGCCATAGTTAAATGGACTGGGAATATTGTCTGGAGACATAACCACTGCTACCAGGTTGTAGCAAGCCCTTGAAGAATACAGAAGGGCAGCTACAGAGCCCACGAGGATAGCCTGGCAGACGGATGTGCCCTAAAAACGGCAGAGGAAACAAGATGCATTAGAAGACAAGTACGCTGTAACTCAAGTCTTCCCCAAAGATTAGTCTATGCATGGCAAGTAGTGCGTGCAATACCTGACCCAGATCATCAACTTCAAACACCAGCTTTAAATATTTTAGTGATAACCGGGCTAAGAACCTCACTCTGAACTCTGGGGAAGTTCACCATAACAACCCAGCAGGAGCAGCCTTGCAAACTGAATGGCAGAACAACAGTTAGAGTGATCTAATAGAATACTTTAATAATAACTATTAGAACTGTGTGGTTACCTGTGGTGCGCAGTTATAGGTAGAGCAGAAAGCATAGTTTATGCAAGCACATGCGTATTATGGTCTACACCAAGGGTTGACAATGTTTTTAGGCAGAGTGCCAAAAAACACCCGCAACCTTGATTTGCAAGATGTTGGCATGCCAGGGGCAGATGGCGGGGGAATCGCAAGAGGACAGATCCTTGTTGTAGTAGCACAGCCCCGGCCTCTTTTGAAGCATGCTTGCCAAGCAAAAAATGCTTCTGCATGCCATGCATGCTGGGAGTTGCCTACCCCCGGTCTAGACACAGCCAATGTAAGACAAAGCCCAAGGAACAGTCAAGAGTCAAGCCCCCAGTGTTACATTCTCATGTATGTCATCGCTTTGTTAAGGCAACTGGTCCTTCCATGGTGTGATGTACCACAGCCTTTTTAAAGCTGCTCTGAGAATATCTGAGAGGGTCCTTGAAGTGCCCTGCTGTCACAGGAGTGACTGCTTCAGGCAGCAGCATGTGTCCAAAGAGTTAGAAGACAGCATTTTAGCCGGGGACACCGAACAGCTTGCAGTACAAGGAACTTCACAAAAAGTCGGATACACTTGCAGTTCTGTTCTGAAGGCAGTGGCAGCCAGTATAGCAGAGCTGTGCGTCACCATGCCTTTTATCCAGAATTCCTGCAGCCGTGACCCTTGTCCAATCAACCTAACAACTACTGTTATGAATCCCCCTGCACTTTACAGGGAATAACTCTCTCCCTTCTCTGCCACAATTAGGTCATCTATTTTACTGTGCTTTTGTCTTACAAGGGCTCCCAACAGTCCCTTCACTCCTGGTGCACAGCCCTCCTCTGTCCCTCCAAGCCAACAGTTCACATTTATATGGAATCTTTTCTCTGCAATCAGCTTTTCTCAGACCTGAAAAAGGACATGCTTTTGGGCACCAGTGCCTGACAATCTAGTTGTTTTCTGAGCATGCGGTCTAGGTCCTGATCTCTTGCATCCTTTTTGGGAAAGGCCCAACACGATGCCTAGCTCCTTGCATTATTCTGCACTAGAGTTTATCCAGTGACGGGGAAAGCGTGCTCATTAATGGTCAGATTGGTGGTATGGGGCAGGGGAATTACCCCCTCCAAAAAAAAAACAAAAAACAAAAAAAAAAAACCAAACAGTGTCCTCATCTTTAGTCAGGCCATTGCTTGCAGGACTGATCGAAGAAGTCTAGTTACCACAGTGGGTTGGACCTACACCTCCAGACATTATCTACAGGAAGCTGGTACCTGTTATGTGAAATGCAAGAGCACTTAGGGGAGTTTCACCTGGCCTGGTTGCAAGGAGTGGAAGTTGTGGCTATATCAGGGAGTGGTAGCCAAGTACTTGCTTTCAGCAGCAGTAGCACATTAGTCTGGAGGATTAGCAGATAGTGGGTGCCCTGGCCCAGTGTTCCTTATGGGGTGAAAAGACTAGAGGATGGAGAAAAAGAAGTTTCGCTAGCCCTTTACTTCTCTCAGGCTCAGTAGATTGAATATAGTCCCTGGCACAAGGAAAGTAGCAGAACACCAGCAGTTTGCACAGCAGGAGTTCAATGACAAGGCTAGACTAGACGAAGACTGCCTTCACTCTCAGTATCACTACTGTAAAAGTCCCTCTAGGGTCAGCAACCCTGTCTGCATCAGGTCTTGGTTCACTACTGACATAAGGCTCTATGCATCTGGTCCAGCACCTACGTGCTACAGAAGATGAAGGGCAGAAGTGCAGGTCTCTAAGAGGTACAACAAGCCATTAACAAGTTAAGGCCACAGGTCAGGAGAAGAGGTTTCTTGCAACAGTGAAAGCCATTTCCAGCAGGCATTTACATCATTTGGAAGGGCTTTTTTGCCAGGCTAGCACAAGCCTGGTTAGACAAACTGGAGACGCACTTGAACGGAGATGGATTTCACCAGTGTTTAAGCAGTTGACAATGTAAGTGTTGCACCTACCTTTGACTCGAGGTAGACATTTGCTGAAGACATTTTTGCAAGTTTGCACATACAACAAGCTAATGAAATGGCACAGAGAATGAAGAGAGTGTCATTGGCTAACGCCTGAGCCAACACTGTCCATCTCAGCTGATTCTCTGGAATATCTCCATAGATTAACATTGCACAGGTCACATTCACAACTAGGAAGAGAAGGCTGGTAAATAGGGAGCCCAGATACATGAGGACCCTGAAAAGGAATAAGAAATTGATGTTAAGTGAGGTAGTCTATGAAGCTGCTCAATAGCTACATTCAAACATTCTGGAGTGGTGCCTGTGTGTCCAAACTCCTAATTTGCAGACTCAAGATTACTTGCTGCACGAAGAGGCCCTTATGAAAGCTGGGAACATTTAGATATTCAGAAGTCATTACACTGTAAGACTCTTATCTTAGACAAAGCAGACTGAGAAACTCTAGCATTTGAGGCATCCTGTGATCTTTAGAATAATAGAAAATTTGGGTTGGAAGGGACCTCAGGAGGTCAGCTAGTCCAACCCCCTGCTCAAAGCAGAAGCATCTCCAGCTACATCAAGGCTTTGTCTAGCCAGGTCTTAAAATAACCTCCAAGGATGGAGATTCGTCCACCTCTCTGAAAATTGTGGAACCTTTGTGGGCAGATAGGAGTTACACAACACTTAACTGCAAGAAGATAAAAAAAAACAAGCTCTTATCTTGCAGTGTTTAGTGTTGTTCTAACCTTACCTTGGATGGAGAAGCCATAGAGTCAGCACAATGCAGACACCCAGTCTTGGTACAAACAGAGACTGCAACTACATTACATCCTACATCAAAATACGAAGACCATCGAAAAGCAAGTCCCTGGCCCAATTACTGACATGCTGCTAAAAGCCACCCAGGCCACATCAGACTAGAGACATGGTATTCCATGGCTTCTTCAAGGTTGCAGACCACTGGCCTACACTCTGTTTTGACTTGGTTCTTGATCCTATATAACTGCAACTCCATGCCAAATGCTCATATTGCTCCAGGGTGAGTTACACTGCACTGGAGATCAGGAACAGAACTAGCCCTGTCACCAACTAGAAGTGATTTGGAAGTAGTAAAAGAAGGGCAAGTCCCCAAAAGGTTGATGTGGGTGACTGCCATAGAAGAGACTGAGAAGCAGAGTGCTGGTGTAGCAGTACTCTTCCAGGCAGCGTGCATGAGCAGGCTTGGCATTTAGTTTCCCAAAGCCATGGTGACCATGCACAAAGCAAGGCATTCTTGACTGGTACTTCGTCTCCAGGAAAGCCTCTCTGCTGATGCACACTGGGTGCTCATGTTGGGTAAGTGGTTCCGGCGGCTCCTCAGCACACGTGGTCAAGTCCTTTACTCCAGACCTGCAAGGGACCAAACTCCAGTTCTTGTACTGTAACACAAAGCTTCCCTCGGGCTCTGCTAGCCACACCCTGCACCACAGAGGCTAGCTCATCTTAACCAAGTCACTCCTTGCAAAAAGAAAGAGCAGACCTAGTCCTACCAAGCTCTAAACACAGGAGTCTACTGATTTCAGACAGTGGCTTCCAGATATACACTGTCATTAAACAAGAGCATATTGGGAGGGTGGTCTAAAGGGAAATATTACTTACTTGTACTTGTTGAATTCTGCTGCACATTTGACTTTGAATATAACCTGGAAAGAAGAGGGAGGAATGTCATTACGACCAGGATTATAAGTGATAGTCCCTTTGGCAGTACGCTGAAAGGGGTCCCTTTCCCTAGGAAAGGAAACTCAGGTTTCCATTCTAGACATGGGAGTCTATAGCCCTCCAAACCAATCAATGCAAATTGCAGCCTGCAACTTCTTGCTATGTAGACAAAAAGGTTGAGCAAACAGTGTGTAAGTTTGTAGGTAGCAAGTTATCTTGTATTCTTACAAAAGAATTATGCTTAAACCAATTACTCTTTGGGCAATAACAGCAAGCCCAGTTTTATCATCCAAGAGGAAACCAAGGCACTCAAGAACACTGCTGAATTCCAGTCTCCTTACATTTTATAGCTGCTAGAGCTGCGCTGTTCAAAGTTTACTTGATGAGATGCTCTTTGTACTGCATATTTTAGTGCCTCAGTACTGTTTAATTTCCTTATTAACGAAAGTGCTTTAGCTGCTATATTAAACATTCGAGGGCTATTTCTAGTTTAGCCATTTGTATTGGATTAAATTTCACAGAGAAAGCTATTGCAATAATAGAGTACACACACTCACACTCGGTGGCCACATCCAGATGGATGCAGCTGTGCTGTACGTGGTGCCGTAGATACATCTGCAGTGCCACATACTGCACATTCAGGTGTTCTCCGTGCCACAAGGTAGCAGTGTGTGGGAGAGGGGGAGAAAGGGGGGTTTGACCCCAGGAGATCCTAGGGTAAAAAAACAGGGAAGGGGGGAACGAGGGGAAGCTGGGGTGGTATGTGCAGGGGCAGCACATACTGCCCAAGACTAGAGAGCCTGGCCAGCCAGAGCCATGCTTTGGCTGCTGACCAGGCTCTGAGCAGCAGGATTGCTGCTGCTGCAGCCCCAGAAGACCCCTAGGTAAGGCTGCTGGGACCAGCCCAGTGTTGGCCCCAGCCTCCCTTACCCCAGCTGCGGTACCCTGCCATATGCCATAGGGCACGTGGCACAGGCTTTCCCCGGGGACAGCTAGCAGCGGCACAAGCGTCCACTTTTGTGTGGATGCAGCCAATGTGTCTGCTTCTGGGTTTGTTCACCCTAGAGACAAACTTCGTTGGCCAAATACAATTTTCAACGGTGATTCATCATTCACTTGAAGACTAAGCCCAAGCCCACTGAATTCTGTAGAAGACTACAGACTGAATTACACAATTCGTATTACATCTTGCACTCTAGAACAACTCTCAGGCCAGGAAGGAAATAGTGCATAGATTTCCCTTAAACAGCAGCAGTAGTTATAGGCCCAAACTCACACGGGGCAAGGAAACATTCACAATGCAACACTTCCTTGGTTTTAATCCAAGCAGCTGCACGTGGCTTGCAGAAGGGAGTTTTGGAAGAGAGCTTAAAGAGCCCCTCACAGGCTATTAGGTTGGTCTACCGCCAACATGCAGAGAAGACTTTTTCCTTTGTTACAGACACACCCGCACAATGCAAGAGTTAAGGGTCAAGAGCAGCAAATCTCCACCCTCCCACCAACACTTTTTCCTAGCTCTTGACTCACTAGATTCCTAGTCTTGCCTGCCAAGTGGTGGCTGCCCACTGGTTTGCCATTTCACGAAGAACAAACAATGAGTGGTACAATGCCGAGCAGTCTTAGAGCACACTGGACTCCTTTGAAAATCCCAGCCTAAATGAAGCAGAAAAACCAAGTTCCACTGAACACTAATAAGAAATAGAGCAAACAACTAAATCGTTGGACGAGAGGCCATTCAAAGACTAGGCAAGTGAGATACTAGACAAACCGGATGGCCATCCTGCTTCCTAATCCATAGTTCTGCTAATTTAATCATCAAGTCCCCATTTCTCAATGTGGAGGTTGCCCGTGAGCAAATAGAGCAGACACAAATAGCAGCCAAGTTGCTCTAGTAAAGCTCAGCCATCCTTTAAGTACTTTGTCACTCCCATTAATCCTTCCCTGGTTCAGCACAAGATTACAGACAGGATTTAATCCTTTGGAAAGCATTGATTTCTACATGTGTTCAAAGGATTAATTGGCTAATCTGGAAAGGAGGGGTCTGAAGCAGGGTCGCATCTGCACACTCCTTACATCTCAACTTTTTTTGGAGCCAGAAAGGCAAGTTTCAAAAGGCAGCTTCACCATGAAGGATGGCAAGGCTTTGCTGAGCCAGTGAGCTGGGAGCGTACAAGATGCTACCAGTTCTAGTAGATGCATTTGCAGTCACTGAAGCATCATCAGACTGAGCGTACCTTTTATAGTTTCATAGTTAGTAGGGTAGGAAGGAACCCAAGTAGATCATCTAGTCCGACACCCTGCCATGGCAGGAAAGAGTACTGGGCTCAAATGACCCCAGCAAGGTGTTCATCTAACTTCCTCTTAAAGACCCCCAGGGTAGGGGCCAGCACCACTTCTCTTGGAAGTTGGTTCCAGATCCTAGCCGCCCTGACCATGAAGTCGTGCCTCCTGATAGCTAACCTAAATCTACCCTCACCCAGCTTGTGACCGTTATTCCTGGTCACTCCTGGCAGTGCACGGGGGAACAGGGACTTCCCCAGTGCCTGCTGGTCCCCTCTGACTAGTTTGTAACAGGCCACTAGATCCTCCCTCAGCCTTCTCTTGTGGAGGCTGAACAGGTTCAGGTCCCGTAGCCTCTCCTCATAGGGCCTGCCCTGCTGCCCCCTGACCACGCGAGTGGCCCGCCTCTGGACCCTCTCCATGTTGTCCACATCCCTCTTGAACACTAATAAGAAATAGAGCAAACAACTAAATCTTTACTAAATTATTACTGTCTCCTTCCTTCAGCTACATCCCTTTCAGGTCCCACACCATTTTTGTTCTAGGGCAGGGATTCACAACCAGGTACAGCATTCTGGGGTGATGCGAGATCATTGTATGGGTGCCACACAATATCAGCACTGCTTGGCATACAAATACCTGCGCGTAAAATTTGCAGGGTTAACCCAGAAGTGTCAAGCTGTTTGATGCTATGGATTCTTTTCTGACCCATGGTGGTCTTTCAAATTCTTTGCAATACAAAAGTGGTTCCATCATCTCTACCCCAGCAAAAAGGGTTGGGGGTGGGGGTGGGGGAGGAAAGAGAGACAGAGCAAATAAATAAGAGCTGACATTTTCTGAGGGATGTCTCAAGTCTAAAGTAGTTTCCCTTAGAGTGATTCTTCATTGCTGACTAATAGGTGTCACATTCTGATTTGCCATCTCTCTTCCACCTTTGAGTCAGAGCCATCAAGGCCACTTCATTTTCCAAGAAGCTTTGGGAATACTGGCATTCATCTGACAACCTTCTGAGAGAGGCACTGGCCCCTGTCTTCATAGTTGCAAGTGCAGATTTAGCGTGCTGGTTTCTAACGTTTCACAGAAGTTTAGGGCTGGAAGGGACCTTGTGAGATCATCGGGTCCAGCCCTCTGCTCTGGGCAGGAAAGACCGCTGGGGTCAAATAACTCCAGCAAGGTGTGCGTCCGGTCTCCTTTGGAAGATCTCCCGGGTAGGTACCTGCACCACCCCTGCTGGGAGTCTATTCCAGAGTCTGGTCACCTGAACTGTGAAGTTTTTCCTTATATCTAATCTGAAACCTCCTTTTAGGAGTTTATGACTGTTATACCTAGTTTTCCTCTGGAGCACGCTCTGGTGAATAGTTGCTCACCTAGCCCCTGATATATTTGTAAGCTGCCCCCACCTTCCCCCCCCCCCCATCTTCATTTTTCTAGGCTGAACAGTCCCATATCTGCCAGCCCTTCCTCGTATGGCTTGTTCTCAGGCCCCTAATCATACACGTGGCTCTTCTCTGGACTCTCTCCAGCTTCTCCACATCCTTCTTGAAGTGCAGCGCCCAGAACTGGATGCAGTACTCCAGCTGTGGCCTCACCAAAGCCATGTTTCTCTGCACCAGTTTCCTTTCAGGCATGGACCAGAACCGGCTGGCAGATGCTAGTCATTAGGTCTTCAATGTTTAGAGACTGTTTAAGCTCACAAAGAGGAGCTTGCCTATGCTTTACATGGCATCTTTTGTCCCCCTTCAAGCCAAAACTGAACTCCCCCCGTTGTGATACCAATTTACAGAGTAGTTTATTTACATTGTGAACCACGTTCTTCGTAGCTGCAGTTGTTGCCTGTAGATTAATATGATCCACAGTAGGATTCTCAGAGGCAGGATACTATGCTGGGATTTCTCTTCAAGCCTTTTGAAGAGGAGACCGAAGGTAGTTAGGTGGAAAACCCCTTTGGAAGGATTTCTGCATATTTGTCTCCCAGTACAATCCAACACCAGTGAACGCCTGTTCTGGAAAGGTGTGATCAGTGGAGTTCAAACACTGCTCCAAAGCACAAGGCGCCCAGCTTGCCGCATTTCTCACCCCACCTTCCCATACTATTTGTACAAGATATCCCTCACACCCGAGTGGAAGCAAGTTACTGATAAGAGGGCTGAAGGAAAGAAAGACGAGCACCTTCACCCAGCCAGCCTCGCTTAGCGCAGCAGGTTCTGTTTCCACTACGATTCAGCAATTAGCTTTACTATTGGCACCACTCTGTATCTTAGTTATAATCATCGAGGTTCTCAGATCCCTGCACAGCTGCTCACATTAAGAAGATTGTGAGCATGCATTGGTCCAGGACAAGCATTTAAAAGTTTTTACTATTGCCAACATATTTGTAATTAGTAATAATAAAAAATACTTGTGTCCTGAGCCAAAGATGAGATGTGGAGTTCTGTTTGTTGTTTCTGTTGGTTACATCTTGGGTCCTCAACAACAAGCCTGACATTTTAGGCAAGTTTTAGTCCTGGGTCAGCAACATTTTTGGGAAGAGTGCCAAAAACACCTGCCACTTTGACTTCCCAGATGTTGGTGCGCCAGAGGCAGATAGCAGGGGAGCTGTGAGGGACCCGGTCCTTGTTGTGGCAGCACAGCCCTGGCCCCTTCCCCACCATCCACCCCCCTTTCTCCTCCCCCCTCCTTGAGGCGTGCCTGCACCCATCACCAT